GGCTCAGCTGGCAGAGCTGCTGCTGGGGAGAGGCTGTTTGGGGCTGGGCTGAGACCCCAAATCATGTTTGGGGCTGGGCTGAGACCCCAAAGTGTGTTTGGGGCTGGGCTGAGACCCCAAAGCATGTTTGGGGCTGGATTGAGCTGGACCTGCAATAGTACCATAGTTCTGAGCTTCTGTTTTGGGCAATTAACTGGATTTTTAAGACCACCTGATCTCCCCCCTGTGCCTTGCTGACCTCAGGGAGCACCTTGGCAGCAATTCCCAGGAGAGGAGCTCTCAGGGCTGGCTGGTGGGGACCAGTGCTCTGCCCTGGAGGAGGGGGCCTGTCTCTGAGGGCTCTCTGAAGTATCAGCATGTCTTCCCTGCCTTTCTGTGCCCCCGAGTTTAAGCAGGATCCCAAACCCTCCGTAATACTCGGATTTACAGTCTTACAACGACAACACTTCCATCCCCAGGAACGGGATTTTCTGGGTCACCAAATTCCCTTGCTTTGGCAGGGAACTGTGTCAGATCACCTCATTCATAAAGTGACCAAACTCTATTTTAAAACCATTGGGTGGCTTCCCTTCCCCTCCCCTCCCCACCTAACACTTCCTGGCAGGAGGCAGTTTGGAAACCTTTGATTTCCAAAGCAAGCCGGGTTTATTTGCAGACAGTTCTCCTGCAGCTGCCTCCTCTGGATTCCCTGCTTTCAGGCCACCCTCCCCTGCTGTTGGCTGACAGGGTGCTTTAATTCTGTGATCCTGCTCTGCCATGGGAATTTTGGGGTGGAGGCCTTGGATGAGCTTTCCCAGGTCTTAAGTTCCCTTCTAAGTGCATGACAGCAAGGCTGAGGCTCCAACAAGTGTGTGAAGGGCAGAGATGGACCTGAACTATCCAAAATATGTCTGAAAGAGAGTGGGGTGGTTTCACAGGGCAGGAGAGGGAGGAGGATGCAGGATCCACCTGGATGGTGCCTGCAAAGGTGGCAGGAGAAGGTGTGCCTGGCCCAGGTGTGCTCAGCACTGAGGTCAGAGTAGGATCTGTCCACCTCCCACTCCTGGAGTTTTCCCAGAGCCTGCTCTGGGTCTGGGAGCAATCCCAGCCCTCCCAGCCTATGTGTTGCTGTCCCTCCCACTTCACCTTCAGCACTGAGCTGCAGCCCAGGCAGGTGTGAATCTGGACCTTGAGGGCCACAACCATAAACTAAAAGCAAATTCAGCCCAGACACAGGGGAAATGCTCTTCTATTCCTGGAATAATAAATGCTTGGAATGGCCTGCTGGGCAGGGGCACTGGGGCAAAGGCCTGGGGATCAGTCACACAGCAAGTGACTTGTAGCTGTTGTCCTGAGGGAAATGATGTGTAAAAGGGATGAGCTCAAACACCCCATGCCTGTTACCTGTGTATCTCATGAGTAATTTGTCTCTGAAGCAGAGGCGTTTTATTTTTCTCCTCTGAAGCTGATTCTTTTCCGCCAGCTTATTTCTTCTCAGCAGGAGGGGAAGATGAATCCCTGTCAAATAATAGTTCATTGCTCTTAATGCAAGAGTCCAATTAATTGATGGTTTAAAAGCTTCGCTTTTCTCGCCATTAAAAACAAATAAACAGGGAAACAAAACTGAAGCGTCGCAGGGGAGGTTGGAGCAGCACAGGGACACCTCAGCTCTGCCTGGTGCAGCATTTCCCAGCCTCTCACCCTGGGATGGCTCTGATTGTCCCACTCCTGCCAGTCTCCCAGTGCTGGATGATGTTTTTTCCCAGCCTGTGTTGCTGTTCAGGGCACAAGGAGCAGGTTAACATTGGATATGAAGATTTTAGCAGCTGAGGGCAAAAGTGTCTCACTGTGTGTCCTTCTCAGGGAGTGCAGAGGGAGAGAACATATAGGGAAAGGTGGAGCCCTGGAGAGTCCTAAAGCAAATTAAGGATTTGGGATGTGGGGGAGAAAGCACAGCTTTCCCAACCCCAAATATCCCAACTGGGAGTGCTTAGTTTGGCCTTAGGAAAACTGGTCAGTTTTGGAAGCAATAGTTCCAGTGCCCCACTGCTCCCTGCCCTCCCTCCTCAGACCCCTGCATCCCATCTTCCTGTGCTCCCTCCAGCCCAGTTTCTGCCCTCCCTCTGTCCTCACTCTCCTGCCATTCTGCCCTCCTTCCCAGCTCCCTTCTCCTGCTCCTTGCTTCCCTCCATCCTCTGTTTGCTGTATCCCTCCATCCCGCCCTGTCCTCCTTCCATCCTTAATTCCCTGTTCCCCCTGTATCCCTCCTTCCTGCCCAGTGATCTTTCCATGCTCAGTCCTCTGCCAGCCCTGTATCCCTTCCTCCCTGCATTCCTCCATCCTGCCCTGTCCTCCTTCCATCCCTAGCTCCCTGTCCCCCCTGCATCCACCTCTCCCTGTATCCCTCCATCCTGTCCTGTCCTCTTTCCATGCTCAGTCCCCTGTCCTCCCTGTGACCCCCCATCCTGCCCTGTCCTCCTTCCCTCTCCATCCTCTGTCCCCCCTGCATCCCTCCCTCCCTCCCTCCTTCCTGCCCTGTGCTCTTTCCTCGCTCAGTCCTCTGTCCTCCCTGTATCCCTCCATACTGCCCTGTCCTCCTTCCATCCTTAGTTCCCTGTCCCTCCCCGCATCCCTCCATCCTGCCCTCTCCCCCCTCCCTCCCAGTCCCCTCTCTCCCCGTAGCCCCTCTCATCCTATCCCTCCCCGCACCTGGGCCTGCCCTCCCCCTCCTCCACAAGACCCTTCTTGCCCCCGAGCCCTCTTCCATCCCTCCTCGCCGCCGCCTCGTTTTTGGGGCGTCGGGGCCGCCGCCACCGCCGCCGCACGCCCCGCCCTGCAGTTCCCCTCCCGCCGCGGGGAGCGCGCCGCTGCCGGACGGAGGGAGCAGCCGCAGGGGCAGAACGAGCCGCCGGTAGAGCGGGCAGGGAATGGAGGGAGGCAGGGATGGCGGAGGAGGCAGGATCTGGGTCTGGCGGCGGGCAGCGCTCCCCAGGGTGGGGGCCGGGGGTCCCCCGCGGGATGCTCGCCCGGCCCCGGGAGCCGCCGCTGCGGCGAGCCGCGGGCGGAGCGCTCGGGAGCGCGGAGCCGCGCGCTCGCTGCCCCCGGCCACAATCCCCCCTCCCTGGCCACGTTCGGCCCCGTCCCGGTCACATCCATCCCCTCCGGACCCACAGCGAGTGCCCCCCGGCCGCCCCCTGCACTCGCTGAAGGACTTTGGGACCAGCCCTTTGCGGTGTTTTTAGCGCACCAAGAGTTGAAAAATGCCACGCTCCGGCTTTTCGGCGGAGCCGAAGTTCGCGGGGCGCGGGGAGGGGGTGGCGACAACTCCTGTGGATGAGCCGGGAGCGATGCCCGGGATGCGGTGGGCAGCTGGCAGGGATGCTCCCCGCGGCCCCGGGGGCTGCCGTGCTCGCAGCCCTGCGTGCCAGGCAGCGAGGAAAACGCTCTCTAACTCCAGATTTTTCTCGGGCTCTGGATCGGAAAGGAAAGGGCTCGTTGTTCTGGAACGCGTGTCGGTGGAGTTGTGCTCGGGGATGATTTGCCTCTGGAATGTGCGAGGTGCTCGTTGTGTGCGCAGACGTGCGGGGTCGGCGCTGCCCTGACTCCTTCAGCGAACGAGCAGCGCTGAGCCCGGGCACTGGGGGGAAAACTCCGCGCAGAAACCTCTTCCTAGGCCCAACTTTATTCCGTGTGATTTACGCCTGAACTCCGGCACAGCCGCGGCTCTGGGCCGGGGCTCTGCGTAGGTGAGCGATGCTGCGAGCGCCGCTCGGCTCGTCGCCCATCGGGCTGGATTCTTTCCTTTCGCAGGGTCGAGACCTCAAGGTTGCGACCCCGCGGGGAGTTAATTGAACGAGCCGGGGGTTCGCTTCGCCTCCCGTTCCCCCTTCGCGGGGAGGTGCTGCTGGCTGGGGGCTCCGGCGCTGTCCCTGCCTCCCCGGGGACCTCCGGCTGGCGGGGGGGAGGCCGAGGGACAGCTTCGCCCGCATCCGGCCGTTCTGACCGAGCGCTGGTGGGCTCCAGCAGCCCCCCCCACCACCAGGGGAGATCCCCCCCCGGCAGGAACCAGCCCTTTGTCTCAGCCTTTTCTCCGGGAAGCCGCTCAGCAGCCACATCCCGGCTGGATGTGACCGCTGCATCGAGCACAGAGCAGAGCCTCCCCCTCTGCTTCCCTGCGCTGGGAGCCGGGAGCCTACGGCGTTCGGAGAGCGAGGAGCATCCCTCTGGAGTCTCTGGCTCTCCCGTGGAGCCGACAGCACCCAGCAACCAGCTCCTGGGTGCTCAGACGTGTGTGCTCACAGGTAGGAGGTGGATGTGACTGTGCCGGGTGCTTTCCTGCCATGGTTTGCTTTAGTCTTCTTTCACACAGGGGTAGGAGCCATCTGCAGTGAGGCTCCCACCGTGCCAAGGCATTTTTAACGTGTCTTGATGCAAGTCTGCTTTAGTATTTATGTATATTAAGCTGTGTATTTGAAGGGAACCATCTGGGTAGAGAAATAGATGGCGAGTGGCAGAACCTTTCCCTCTCGGTTTCCATTTCGGGGCTGGGCCTGATTAGCGAAGGCAGAAGTTGGGAAAGTTGCTGCGTGGCTCGTTCTGGTTTGCAGGTGGTGCTTTCCCCACACCTGATGTGAATTCCTACCCTGGGATGAGACAGCTGGAGCTGGGATGGGGAAAGAGGGAGCTGACAGGCTGTGCTGAGCAGAGAGTGTGTCAGCACAGGGAAGGAGAATGCTCTTTTCTTTTCCTTTAAATGGCCATTTCTCTTAACCCTTTGTGCTCTGGCGCCTGTGGGGATGGTGCCTCTGCTCTTGGGGGTGGGAAGAGGGGGCCTGAGGAAGGTGAACCCCCAAAATGAAGGGCTGTGGGTGAGGACAGACCAGAGTTGGGGTAAACACATGAACATCTCCCTAAAAAGAATCACCTGTGCAAGGCTGGGTTATAAATAGGAGGGCTGGAGCAGCTGCCTGCAGTTCTGAGAGGGACAGGCACAGAGACAGAGCTGCTGCTGCTGCAAGTTTCTTGCTGGAGGTTTCTTTTGCAAGCTGTGCAAGGAAAATAAGCCAAGGAGTCATGTGGGCTGGCAAAGGCCTGGACACCTCGATGCCAAGGAGCACTCAGCAATCTGGGGGAGAACGGAGGATGATTTGAGGGACCTGGTCTTCAGGGAGCTCATCAAAGGAGCAGCAAAGCAGGTAGGGGCAGTGCTGCCTCCAGACTGTCTGTTCTGAAAGCTTAAATGTGCCAGGGAATTGCATCCCCCGTGCGTTGTGTGTGCTCACACTGATGTCTTTGCTTGATGGAAAAGCAGAAAGTGAACTTAAAACTCAGCCAGGAGCTGGGAAAATCCTCAGCTAAATCCTGGCTGATTGAAGGAGTTCTGATGGGAGAGAATCTGACTGTGATGGAGGATCTCTGTGTTCTGCCACGGGAGCTGCTTTGGCCATGTGGGTTTAGGCTCCTCTTTCTCTTGGGAAGAGCTGCTGGTTTTCCATGTGAAATAGGGACAGAGGAGACCAGGAGAGGCCTGGGGCTGCTCTGGCTGGAGGAGGAGCTGTGTGTTTTTACTGGGGGATGCTTGAACCTGCAAGAGTTGATGGGTGGAAGGATGGGCTTTGGTGTCAGAAGAGGAAAAGCAGGGGGGAGGAGGAGGGAGGGGTGACACAGGGGATGAAGGAGCAGATACCTGCTCAAAATCAGACATGGCTGGGCCATATTGGTGGAGAAGAACTCCCTCCTCCAAGAAACTTCATCTTCTTTAAGGTACTTTGAGCTTTATTCTGGTTTTTGTCAGCACTAAGTATGTGCAGGCAGTCGATGTCTTGCCCTTTTTAAAGGCCTGATGATGTGCCTGAGGTGTGGGTATTGATTCTCCCTGTCTTTTAGGGGAGCTCTTCATGGGCAGCACTTGTTAGGGTCAGGTTTGAATTGGGTGTTGTTTGTTTTGTTTTTTGTGCTTCCAGGCAGGCACAAGGAAAGACAAATGTTCTGCAAGTCTTCTCAGAAATGTTTTCTGGGCAAGAGGTTTCTAAGGCAGCACATAAAGGCTGGGGAATCAGCTAAAATGAGGAACCTCTTGCTGTGTGTGTGAACAGGAGGAACACTGGAATGGGGCTTGAGCAGGATGAGAACAGCTTGGAGGGGGTTGCTGAGACTTGAGGGGATGACACAGAGGAATCAGTGGGGCATGAGAAACTCCAGGAGGAAAGCTTTGTACAGGAGGGGAAAAGTTGGCTTAGAAAGGAGACCCTGGGGATGCTGCAGAGCTGTGCCCCTGCTCAGGAGACTGGGAGCTCCAGTTTGTCTGGCTGTACCCTCAGGGGAGCTACTAACCCTGCCATGGCTTCTCTAACAAGAAAAAGGGGGGACTTGGAGAGAGAAAAGGAGTTGGAAAACCTGTGAGGAGGTAATGGAGCAGTTTTAAGGTCCCCATGATAATTTTTCATCTGCTCTGTGGGACGGGGCTTGGAAGGACAGTTAACATTACTGTGGTTTTTGTGTTTGTCCTGGTGCCTGTGGAAGACTTGGTGTGGTACAGTGGATGTGGGAGTTAGTGGTGGTGAAGGTGGAGGAAAATGTAGAGAGGACCAGATCACAGAATCACAAAATGGTTTGGGTTGGAAGGGACTCATCTCCTTCCAACCCCTGCCATGGGCAGGGACAGCTTCCATGGATAGAACATTTCCATGCTGGTCACAGGGAGTGGCTGATGGGCAGGACAGAGCTGGCAGTCCCCACCTGCAGTCAATTAGCACTGATTGAGTTGTTCCAAGAGGAACAAATGGACAGAGGTGTTGGGAATCAGGTGTTGTGAATCAGGAGATCTGGGGACCGTTGGTCTGAGGTAAATCAGGTGTAAATGAGCAGCAGGTGTGAAGGGGAGGGCTCTTCCCCCTTGATGGGCAGTTAGCAAGGCAGGAACCCCAGTGGGCAGAGGGAGCTGATGGATACAGCAGGAATTTTGCCACGAGCTGCCTTTCCAGAAATCAGACCTGAGGAAGAGCTGGGATGTCAGGCAGGTGAGTTTTGCTTCTGGGTGCCTGCTAGGAGGGCCTGATTATCACTCAGATACTTGGATGGGTCTAAGCTTGAGGTCAAATCACCTCAGCTTTTGTGCAGAGGATGGGTACCCAGTAGGGAAGCCTTCCTTCCTAATGCTGCTTGGAAGGCTGAGAAAACAGGAGCTCAACATGTTCCAACGGACCTAATTTATTTGGATTTTTCATTAAATCCACCCAAAAGGGACTATTTTGGGAAATAAATAGCAGAACGTGGGCAATAAATAGCTGTGGGATAAGGGGCAGAGTTCAGTGCTGGCTTCCCTAGTTAAGCTGCAGAAAATAGAAGTGTAATGGTCGAGTGCTGATCGGAGGGGAGATAGGTGATTATGTGAAGGTTCCTCACGCTGAGGCTGGGCTTATTTATTATCTTTAATGATTTGGAGGTGGAAATGGATCAGAGCTGGGTTAGGGAGAGCCAGTGTGCCAACAGAAAGGGTTTGCTTTTGTGAGAATTAGAAGAGAAGGCTGCTGGCTGTGAGTGTGCCAGTGGTTTGGGAGCAGCAGTTGGTGTAACTCGGGCTCCAGAACTACAAGAAGAAAACCCTGAGTGAATCCTTCCCTGATAATGGGACCTGGGGGGATTCTGGGGGGTTCTACCAGGAGGACATGTAGGGCCAGGAGGAGATGGTGTGGTTTGTGTGTGCAGGTGAGGAGGTTCCTGGGGCTGTGTGGATGAGCTGTAGGTGATGGGGAGCCACAGGAGATGCTGTGAGGTGGCCAACAGTGCCCTCCACCTCGGGGGCTCTGTGGGGAGAGGTGTCTGCAGGGACAGGCTGCTCTTCCCAAAGCCTCTCAGGTCAGGGATTTGCTGCTGGAGCAGGGATTTGCTGTTGGAGCAGGGGCTGTGGATTCAGGCTGTGCCAGCATCCCCTGGACCGGCTGCTTTGGAATGAACAGAGGGAACTTTGCTGAGTCCTGCTGAGCTCCTCCTGGTGGGACCTTCCCCTGGATTTTCCAGGGGATGGATGATAGATAAGGTGTTAGTAACTTATCAGGGATGAAGGAGTAGAGCTGTGAGCTGTCCATCTCCATGGATCCAGCAGTGCCTCCAACCCAGAGGCTCGGGAATGTTCCCAGTGCTCGAGAGGGGCTGTTGTTGTGAAGTGTCTGATGAGTCTGTGGTCTCACAGTGCCTGGAGGGGGGATTACAGAGCCCAGAGGATTTGGGTTCTGCTTGATTGCAAATCCCTGAGCCAGGTCTCAGTCAGGTGTCAAGGTACCAATGTTTATCCTGCCCATCCTTGGCATGGAAGCAGCTTTGTAACACAATACCCAAGAAACGGTGAGCCATCCAGCCCAGGGGGATTTTCATCTCTGCTGAGATCTCCTGACTTCAAAGTCTGCAGAATTTATTTGCAATCTTCATGAGGGAGAAAGCCAGGCATTTGTGGGTTTGTTTTATTTATTTATTTTTTCCCTGAGCCTCTCTGTTCCTCCCCACCCTCTCTTCAGTTTGTTTATTTGGTTAGCTCAGCGTCAGCACAACGATGTGGAAATAAAGCAGAGGAGCTTCCTCTTGGCCTTATTGAATATTCATAAATGGGAGAAATAGATTATACTGGCAATCCCTGGCTGGGCTACAGTTAATGGAAGTTCTTCTTTGACCTTACAAACCCCGCTTTTCAAGGGTTTATAATGAGTCTGCAAAAATTCATCCCGGGCACAAACAAGTCATCTGAGGTCTCAGACCCTGTGAGCACAAAGTCATAATAATAATACTAATTTCCCACCCACTCAGGCATGTGCTCAGCTCCTTATAGATCTCGCTATTTTTTAAAAGCAGGTTTTTGCTTGATTTTTTTTTTTTTTTAATCTTTTTGGGACTGTTTCAAGGTGTGTGTTGGGGGGGAGGAGGGTGACTGGTGGGGGAACAGCTCTCCCTGTGCTGTGTGACACCAGTTCCCTGCGTTGGTCCCCCTTGGGAGGCTCTGTGGGTCCTTCCCTGGCTCTTCCAGGAGCAGTTTTATGTCCTGAAGATCTCAGCCCGATGAGCTGGGTGATCACACCTCAGCTGGGTCAGCAGAAAATCAGCTCTTGCTCCCTGGCAGTGGCTCTGCACCTTCTCTCCCCTTCCTGAGTCTGAGAGCAAAGACAGTCTGGGCCTCCTGGGGAGGGGATGGGCTGCTAAAAGCCCCTGCAAGGTTTTGTCCAGCCCTAACCTCTTCACGAACTTTCTGCTGAAAACCACAGTGACAGAAGCTGATGTTTTGCTGAAGGAAGGCGTCACATTTGGAGGCTGAAGGGTTTATTTGATGGCTCCCTGGCCCTGCTCAGAGGCAGAGGGGCTGCAAGGCTTGTTGCCACTGATGTTTGAGTGTGTAGTGGGATTCCTGCTGGGCAGCAGCCCCGTGCTTTCTCTTTGTAGGCTGTGATGAAGCAGCAAATTGCTGCGTCTGATGGAGTTGCTCTAAATGTGGCTTGTTTTGGGTCAAGTGACTGAGCCAGGGGCAGAGCCCGCCTGCAAACCCTAGTTCATTGAAACCAGTGCTGATCTGCAAACATGTGCCAAAACTGCTATTTTTCACCCCTCAAAAAAAGGCTTGTCAAAATACATATTACTCTACCCACGCTGGCTGTTTGCCCTTGCTGTTTTCCTGTTTGCTCTGTGCTTATTTCCCATTTTTCACTCCACCTCGTGTGTGATCTGGTAACATCTGGTGTTAAAGGATGGTGTGTGTGCACGGGCAGCTCTGAGAGCAGGGCATCACATCTCTTTTTAAGACTGAAAAACGTTTGGGGCAGAGCCTGTGCTAATGCTCACAGAGCATCTGGTCCTCTCCAGGTCCAATTCATCACTGTCTTGCAGTTTGCATTATTGTTCACACCGAGGGAAAGTGGGTGTGAAGCTGGAATAATAATGTTTCACACTTGCTTTGCATTGGTTTTGATATCCAAGAGCATCTCAACCTATCAGAAAAGGCATAAAGGAATTGAGTGGTCGGAAGCTGAAAGCACAGTTGACAAATAACTTCTTAATTACCTTTAGTGAGGAAATGACTGCTGGGCTCGATATTATATCGATGGCAAATGGAAAATCGAGATGGGAATTTTCAATTCTGACTGAGAAGGCTGGAAGGAATCAGGAGGGGTGAGCTCAGTGCAGTGATTCCCCCAACTTTTAACCTCTTGCTGTA